GATTACCTTCTGAGAGATTGCATTGAGAAATGCACATAGCTTCACAATGGCTAATCGAACGTTTTCCGGTAGAAGCCCCCTCAATGCAACCGGAAGCAGTTGCGTCATAATCACGTGGCAGTCATGAGACTTTAGGATCTGAAACTTTTTCTCTGCCATGTTTATTATTCCCTTTATATTCGATGAGAAGTCAGATAGTACCTTAATACTGAGCAGGCATTCAAAGAAGATTTCCTTCTCTTCTTTGGTAAGAGCGTAGTTTGCATGACCCTGATGTATGCCGTCTTTTCCGTACATACATTGCTGGTCCTCCCGTGCCTCAGGTGTATCTTTTGTCTTCCCATACACGCCCAAGAAGCCAAGCAGGGTCACACAAAGATTCCTCGTCACGTGCATCACGTCGATTGCGGAGCGGACCTCTAGGTCTTTACAATAGGGCAGGTCCCAAAATATAGATTTCTTCTTCCACATGGATGCGCGTCCGTCAGCGTCATTCGGAACAGGTTGTCCACGAGGACCCTTTCCAAAGACCACCTTCAAATCCTTGACCATATCATGTACATCAGCTCCAGTACGGTGGCGAGGCTTCGTCCGGTGATCCGCCTCACCTTTGAAATGCTTGCCTTTCTTTCTTACGGGATGCCTGCTCGGAAGAAATCGACGATGTCCCATGTACACATTCTTCTTACAATTAGCCAAATATATACTGTCGGTATCGTCCAAACAGTGCGTGCATGTGCGATATCCCTTGTTTGTCTGTCCTGAAAGGTTACTGAGAGCAGGCCAATCATTGATGGTCACGAACAGCAGCGCCTTTAGGTCAAATTCTTCCCCCATGTGCTCATCCCACGCACGTACACCTGTTCCATTTCACACTTGTAAGAGTTCTTAGGGCCTTGGATGAGCACTGGCATTATAATGAACTTCCGCTTCATGCACAACCAAGGAGGAAGGTTATACAAACATAGAGTCGCAGGCCAGGTGCTATGGTTCTGCTCTGCTCCCCAAAAGGATTAATGCCATCTACGCTTAGACCAAACCATACGTTCCTTGCGTCATATGCAAACTCCTTCCCATACTTTCTTTCGATTTTTCTCCACTGCGACCCGTCAGCGGGTACTCTCAACTTTCCGTCTTTCTTACGGTCTTCTCTGTGCCATCGCATCGCCTTGGCATGCTCTTTGTTTTGGAACAAACGTTTCAACCATGGTATTATAGGAGCATACCACATCACCTTGGCAGGAATCTTCTTCCTGGGGCGCTCGCCCTCAACATCACCAGGGTCATCCCAGCTAATCTTATAGCGCAATGCACCGCATACCGGGCAAGCGTTCAAATCCTCGTACTCACCGCGGTAGAGGATGCAATCATTAGGGCATGCATGTATCATCTGCACCTCTAACCCTAGAGGGCAGACAGCCTTCTTTGCTTCGTACGTACTCTCGGGCAATTCGTTGTCCTTTGGAAGCATATTCTTTATCATTACCAGCAACTTTCCAAATCCCTTGTCAGATACACCATTCTCTGCCTTTCATTGCAGCAATTCCAGTGTGGTGCCCAGCTTTTTCTTGTCACCTACGCAATTCGGGTACAACAATTTTTTGTGATCCTCTAACATGCGCTGCAACTTCTTCTTCTTCTCCAAATCACTTGCGCAGTTTCTCTTTGCATCGGCAATGGCCCGACCTAGATCATCAACGGGCTCATCTGATGCCTCTTCTTCAGCTTCTTCCCGCATTGCCGGCTCAGCTTCTTCTCGCATTACCGGCTCAGCTTCTTCCCCCATTGTTGTATCATCGTATTCTGGGAACCCATGGCCAGGATAGCTGTCGTCGTCCTCTTCTTCTTCATTGTCTTCCATCATAACCCCTCTTTCTCCGTGCTTGGTCCAAACATTATAGTGGGGCATGAAACCGGACTCAAACAGGTGGACGTGAATGGTTCTTGACGTAGAGTAATTGTGACCATTCTTACAGCCAGCACATGGACAAGGCATAAAACTATCCGCCCGCTTGTTTGCCTCAGCCGCAAGCAGAAAAGTATGCACGCCATTAATGAACTCGGGAGAGCATCGGTCATCGTACATCCATTGCCGACTCGTCTTCAATACATAGCACCGAAAACACCAAATTAATACAATACATAAAGTTCATACAACACTTAAATGCAACAAACAAATAACTCTCTAGCTAAAGCATTTAAATGCAACAACAAATGCGATCAAGATCGCAACTAAGGTAACAATTGATCCAACAGCATAATGATACCAAGCCTCACTATCAATGACATATTTTCTAATCTTTCTAATCTTCAAGCGCATTTTCTCCATCTTGATCTTGTGATCATCGACGACATCGGCAACATGCAACTCCAATTCCATCTTCTCCCCCTCAATTCTTTTCAATTTTTCTTTCAAATACTCGTTTTCTCTTTCAACTAAATTTAACCTCTCGACAATAGAGTCGGTTGGAATTTCCGGTTCACATACCTCCTAGATAAAAATATCTATGTCAACTTGATGGGCATAATTTGTCATAAGCACGAAATGCAACAAATAGTTTTAAAAGAGAATATACCACATCCGAATCATAACAAGGACGAGGGCCGACGGGGACGGATATCAAAACCATGGCACTATGTATAACAAACAACGTACGGGTAAGATAATTATACGACTAACTATATATCCAAATCACACAAACATCGATTTTTTATATAAAATTTCATGAACAAGAGGCTCACCACAAGGTGGTGCCGGCGACGGGACGGTGCGGGCGATCGACGGTGGTTACGACGGAGATTTAGAAGACACTAAGTAAACCACACCTACATATGCAAACTAAGTGTTATTTTCACCTCAGTTTGCATATAAATCAAATAATATCACATATAATTCCTCCCAAATTACTAAAACCCACAATTAATCACTATATAAACCAATGCAAGAGCTAATCTAGCAATGAGAGATGAAAGGACAAAGTTGCTAACCTTTGTGATTATTTGAATGGATGGGGGCCTGCAAATCTTGACAAATTTGAGGCAAATTTTATGATGAACTTGAGAGGAAGAAGGAAAGAACAGAGGAGAGGGAGAGGGGAAAGGGGGAAGAACAGAGTGCTGGTGGACGAAGGGTTTATATAGGACAACCTTTAGTACCCGTTCGTGCCACGAACCGGTACTAAAGGTGTTGGAGGGGCCCCACTCTGACAACATTCTGCCACCACTTTCATTAGTACCGGTTCGTGGCACGAACCGGTGCTAAAGGTTCGCCACGAACCGGTACTAAAGAGCTCCTCCTGCCTAGCCATTGGAACCGGCACTAATGGACACATTAGTGCCGGTTCTGTTACAAACCGGGACTAATGTGTCTCACATTTGACCCTTTTTCTACTAGTGTGAATTATGTGCTTGCCGGAAGGCTGACTAACCTGAATGTTGTCCGGTGCATAGGCAGTGTGTGCTGGACTGCTGGGGCAATAACATGTGATCCAACTTCCTCGGCTTGCGAACTGCCGGCTGGAAGATGGTGTTGATGATGAACAGTTGTGCAATCCCTCTGCCTTGCGCTGACAGCCGTGTCAGCCCAGCGATGGAAATTGCACCATGAAGGAGAACAACATGAATCCACATTTGCCTGCCGAAGACGAAGCACTCGGAGACAGTGATTGTTTCTGGTGTCCAGCATGGGCTCCGTGATAGCCACCTCTTTGTTTTGGATGGGTGTCATGTGTAGGAACCAATGAACAACATGTGTGGGAGCTCGGTGTTCGGTTCCATTAATTACATTGGAGGTGTGTGGAATTTCTGAAACCTGAACCTTACCCTAATTGCTGCGATGGTGATGTCTGAGTTCAGTTCACAATGATTGTAGTAAGCATGCTTGCTGCTGTTTTCATGATAAGTGGAACGAAATCACGAAAGATGGTGCGAAGGCCATTCGAGTTAATTATGTTCGCCCTCGTCACTGCTCAGGTATACTTGGCTGCTGCTTTTCTTTTTCTCGTGCTGCTTCCTCGCGGATACTCTATTGTTCAACCTATCTGCTACTCCTTTCTAGCTTTTTAATTAATCCCAAGTGGTTAAATTAAAGAATCTGCCGAATTATTTTTCAGTCCCACCTTCGCTTAAGCCTTTGTTCGTTTGTTTGACAAGTTGGTTCCAAGATAGCTCTGGCAATTCTAGTTAACTCATCTGGCTAATTTTTTGCGACATATATCACCAACGGAGGCATTGCTTGACATGTCTAGTACATGATGTGAAACGAGTCTCCCAAGCGATTCAGGAATGTCACCATCAAAATGAATTTATTTGACACCGGCCTTTGCTGCTGATCTTGTCAAGATCTTATCGAATGTCTGATAGATGCGTTTATATATCTACAATATCTAGTGGATTCGGTTTCAACCTTCTCTTGAGAGAATAGGATCATCCTTTTTTGGAGTCAAAGAAAGCAAAATGAATTGGGTGCTCTATGGAACCTATTTACCGAACCATTTGCGCCACTAGCAGATTCTCTCTTAGTTGAGGACGATCTTCCCTAAGGCTCAAAGTGCATCATTCAGTTTGGATCAACATAGTGCATTCCATTCTAAATGAGACATCGCAATATACTATTTTTTAAAAATTGGGTTCATTTAAGGTAGAAACTGATTAGAAAGATTGGTACAAATCCAAGGACAGCTAACTAGTCTGAAGACATTTTAGTGAGAGAAAGCTTGAAAGATACAAAAACTCGCATTTCAATTTTTAGTGACTAATGGTTTCATCTGAAGTGTCGAACGCCCACCATGGTTGTTTTATTTTTTACTTAGCAGAGCAATTGCATGGTTTGTTGGAGCAATACAATACTCCCTCCATTCTAAAATAAGTGTATTTAGTTTAGTACAACTTTGTACGGGCGGGAGTATTACCCATACATGGATCTCCTTAAATTAGTTTTAGTTTACAACAATGCATATATAAGCATGGACGTCCTTATGATCTGTTGGAGACTTGATGGACTAGCTAGATCCTGATTGAAGCATAGCCCGCATGCTGTCATGTGGTTTGCAGAGCGCTACCAAAGGAACAGCTTTATACAGGATCTTGGCAGAGGCCTGCGTCATGTCAACCTCGTCTCCGGCCACCCTGCTCCAGTCGAAGCACTGGATCAAGGTCCCCAGCACCAGCCCCATGGTTCTCAGCGCAAGGCTCTCCCCGGGGCACCGCCGTCGCCCCATCCCGAACGGCAGCATCATCATCCCCTCATGGCCCTGGCCGTCGCCATTGACGTCGAACCTCTCTGGCCTGAACTCCTCTGGGTCGTCCCACACGGACGGGTCCCGGTGGATGGCGTAGGCGTTGACGAGCAGCATGGTGCCCGCCGGGAGGTGGTAGCCATGGAGGCTGCAGTCGGCGGAGGACTCGTGCGGCGACAGCAGTGGCGCGGCGGGGTAGAGCCGCAGGGTCTCGCTGATTATGCACCGGAGGTAAGGGAGGTGGGGGAGGTCCTCCTTGCCGAGGAGGCGGGCGTGGCCGACACGCGCGCTCACCTCCTCTCGCGCCTTCCGCAGCGCGTCCGGCTGGTTGAGCAGCAGCGACATGGCCCATTCCATGGTCGCCGACGTGGTCACCGTGCCGCCGCCGAAGAGGTTCTTTACAGAGCAGAGCAGAGCAGCGTGGATATATGCATTTTGGTTGTATAAAACCTACAAGACGAAGCAGTAGGAGAGGAGTACTCACGGTGACTAGAGCGGCGATGAAAGTGTCCGTGTACTGCTGCGGATCGGACTCCTGCAGCTGGAGCATCACGCCGATCATGCTCTTCGACTCCGGCAGCAGCTCCTCCTCGTCGGCAGCGTGGTCCTCCTGCCGCCGCCGTTGCCTCTCTGCGTCGATCAGACCGTGCATCAGCGCGTTCCTCCGGTTCACCAGCTCGGTGAGCCTACGGCGCACGCCACCCAAGTCCAGCCATCGCAGCGGTGCCGGCAGGTGGTCGTGCAGGTTCGCCATGCCGAGCAGCGGCACGATCTCGTCCACCACTTTCTTGAACTCGTGTGCCTCCTCGGACATGTCGGCGTCGGAGCCGGCACCGCGCTTGCCCTTGGCTCCCGCGATGGCCTGCATGAGGACGCCATGCGAGAGCTCGAACAGATTCCGCTTCAGCTCGACCCTGGCAACGCCACCGGCGGCAGCGCGCGCAAGGCGTCGCACCATGGCGCGGGTCTCGCCGGCGATGGCGGCGTCGGACATGAGGTCGACGCGGCGCGCCGAGAGGAGGTGCAAGGTGGCGATGCGGCGCATGGCGCGCCAGTGCGGGCCGTAGCTCGCGGCTGACAGCCCCGTGTAGCCGAACGAGACCTCCCGCGCCGAGAGGAACCGCGGGCGGTTGGCGAAGTTGACGTCAAGCTCGGAGGAGAAGCACTCCTTGGCCAGCCGCAGCGAGGTGACGACGACGGCATCGCGGCGGCCAAGGCAGAGGGAGAGGAGGGGGCCGTGGCGCGTGGCGAGGCCGGCGAGCGTGACATGGAGCGGCTTCTCACGAAGCAGGTGGAGATGGCCCACTAGCGGGAGAGCCAAGCCTGGCCCAGGTGGCAGCCTCTTCTTGCCTCTCATCCTCCTCATCAAGAGGTAAGTAGCAGAGACCATGACCACTGTTAGCACAAGCATCAAATTGCTCATTACCATGCTGTGGTAAGCTCCTAACTCCATCTCCAACTAAGCTCTCAGTTTAGCTCGAGCTACCTTTGGTTATAACTCCACGATCTGGCATCCTTCAGCAATGGACTTAGGTACTTGGTTGGCCTGAAAGTAAAAGGATTTCACTAGTTCAGGTCTAGTTTAATTAGGACTTTAGGAAAAAGGTAGTACAATCATTAGGTGTTGTATATATTGGATTAGGTTGGTGACTTGTAAAAAGTGTTTGATTGATCAAGTTGTTCATTGTTATATTGATGTTTGATTGATGATTATTACATAGTTTAGGACTACAGGTACTCCAGTTTATTGATATGAGTCATGTTGATGACTACTACATAGTTGTTTTTGACGAGTACTTGTGTTTGATCATGTTTGCTTTGGCGGAGCGTGGAGAAAAAAGTGAGGGGCCAAGACATAAATCAAACTATTAATATTAGCTATTACGACCACTAACCATACTTAAATTTTATTGATATGAGTCATGTTGATGACTACTACATAAATCAAGGAGTTCATTGTCGTACTAGTGTGCCACGGCTGTGTGGATGCACCAAGGACCACCATGTATTGAGGATCTTTCACCTCTCGACTATAACTCTTTAAATATGGAATAAAACTCTTATGTTTCGCAAAAAAAACCATACTTAAATTGTTCTTGCAAACAATACTACTCCCCTAGAGGTGTCATCGCCATTCCTAAACACTGAGCAAACGACTCTAACTTTGCCGTAGGCGATCGTCGACTCAACACACACTGCAGAGCCGCGTGGAGATGAATGAAGGTCCGCACCGACTCAGCCACCCGCAACTAGACAGCATGTCCGACTCTAACAAATAATTACGAAAGACAAAACCAGGCACGGCTGGCGCCACAAAAGATCACCGAACAGACCACCTGCAGCTAGGCATTGTATACCATAGAGGCCCCGCTGCAGCAGCTTCAACTTCATAGCAACAAACAAACCAAGGCAATCCCGCGGACACGTCGGAGAAGAGCCAACTACGTCAACCATTTCCACGTTGTCGACATCGCCTCCCACCATCATCGTTGCCATAGAAGTCCGGATGCCACAACCGCTACCAGCCACCGGTCCCGCTTGCCAATGCCGAGCTCCGAGACGAAGCCCCCAGGAGGGAAAACAACAACAGGGCGCCGCCATCGTCCGATCACACAAGATCAAGGTTTTCCCCAGAGAGGCCGGGATGACCAAATCTGTGCAGGAGGGGTGCAGAAGCAAAGCAAAGATACCTCCAAGAAGATTAACGACGGCCGCATCCGCCGCCATCGCTGGTCACAGCACAAGGCCGAGGCAGGGTTTTGACCCAAGCTCCAGCACTAGAGCGGCGATGAAAGTGTTCGTGTACTGCTGCAGATCGGACTCCTGCAGCGAGAGCATCACGTTGATCATGCTCTTTGAGTTCAGCAGCTCGTTGGCGTCCTCCTGCCGCCGCCGTTGCCTCTCTACATCTATCAAGCCGTAGTTAGCACGCTCCTCCAGTTCACTAGCTAGGTGAGCCTCTGGCGGATGCCGCCAAAGTCCAGCCAGCATAGGGGTGCCAGCAGGTGGACGTGCAGGTTGTCCATGCCGAGGAGTGCACAATGTCGTCGACCGGCTTCTTGAACTCGTGCGACTCCTAGGACATGTCGGTGTCGGAGCTAGCAGCGCGCTTGCCCTTGGTTCCCGCGATGGCCTCCATGAGGACGCCATGCGAGAGCTCGAACAGATTTCGCTTCAGCTTGACCCTAGCGACGCCACCGGCAGCCGTAGTTGTAGTGCGCGCAACGCGTCACACCATGGCACGGGTCTCGCTGATGATGGCGGCGTCATACATGAGGTCGGTGCGGCATGCCGAGAGGAGGTGCATGGTGGGTATGCAGCGCATGGCGCGCTAGTGTGGGCCATATAGCTGGCGGCCGACGGCCCCGTCTAGCCAAACGAGACCTCCCTTGCCGAGGTGAACCGCAAGCGGTTGGCGAAGTTGATGTTCAGCTAGGAGGAGAAGCACTCCTTGGCCAGCCACAGCAAGGTCACAACAACTGCGTGTTGGAAATATGCCCTAGAGGCAATAATAAAATGGTTATTATTATATTTCTTTGTTCATGATAATTTTCTATTGTTCATGCTATAATTGTGTTATCCGGAAATCGTAATACATGTGTGAATACATAGACCACAACACATCCCTAGTGAGCCTCTAGTTGACTAGCTCGTTGATCAAAAGATAGTCATGGTTTCCTGACTATGGACATTGGATGTCATTGATAACGGGATCACATCATTAGGAGAATGATGTGATGGACAAGACCCAATCCTAAGCATAGCTCAAAGATCGTGTAGTTCATTTGTTGTAGCTTTTCTGAATGTCAAGTATCATTTCCTTAGACCATGAGATTGTGCAACTCCCGGATACCGTAGGAGTGCCTTGGGTGTGCCAAACGTCACAACGTAACTGGGTGACTATAAAGGTACATTACAGGTATCTCCGAAAGTGTCTCTTGGGTTGGCATGAATCGAGACTGGGATTTGTCACTCCGTATGACGGAGAGGTATCTCTGGGCCCACTCGGTAATGCATCATCATAATGAGCTCAATGCGATCAAGTGGTTGATCACGGGATCATGCATTACGGTACGAGTAAAGTGACTTGCCGTTAACGAGACTGAACAAGGTATTGGGATACCGACGATCGAGTCTCGGGCAAGTAACGTACCGATTGACAAAGGGAATAGTATACGGATTGATTGAATCCTCGACATCGTGGTTCATCCGATGAGATCATCATGGAGCATGTGGGAGCCAACATGGGTATCCAGATCCCGCTGTTGCTTATTGACCGGAGAGGCTTCTCGGTCATGTCTGCATGTCTCCCGAACCCGTAGGGTCTACACACTTAAGGTTCGGTGACGCTAGGGTTGTAGAGATATTAGCATACGGTAACCCAAAAGTTGTTCGGAGTCCCGGATGAGATCTCGGACGTCATGAGGAGTTCCGAAATGGTCCGGAGGTAAAGATTTATATATAGGAAGTCCAATTTCAGCCATCGGGAAGGTTTCGGGGGTCACCGGTATTGTACCGGGACCACCGGAAGGGTCCCAGGGGTCCACCGGGTGGGGCCACCTATCCCGGAGGGCCCCATGGGCTGAAGTGGGAGGGGAACCAGCCCCTAGTGGTCTGTTGCGCCCCCCTTGGGCCTCCCCCTGCGCCTAGGGTTAGAAACCCTAGGGGTGGGGGCGCCACCCTTGCCTTGGGGGGCAAGGCACCCCCCTTGGCCGCCGCACCCCCTAGGAGATTGGATCTCCTAGGGCCGACGCCCCCCCCCTCCCTAGGCACCCTATATATAGTGGGGGGGAGGGAGGGCTGCGCACCGAAGCCCCTGGCCTCTCCCTCTCCCTCCCGTGACACTCCTCCGTCTCCCTGCGCTTGGCGAAGCCCTGCCGAGATCACCGTTGCTTCCACCACCACGCCGTCGTGCTACTGGATCTTCATCAACATTTCCTTCCCCCTTGCTGGATCAAGTTGGAGGAGACGTCTTCCCAACCGTACGTGTGTTGAACGCGGAGGTGCTGTCCGTTCGGCACTTGGTCATCGGTGATTTGAATCACGTCGAGTACGACTCCTTCAACCCCATTCTCTTGAACGCTTCCGCTCGTGATCTACAAGGGTATGTAGATGCACTCCTCTCTCCCTCGTTGCTAGATGACTCCATAGATTGATCTTGGTGATGCGTAGAAAATTTTAAAATTCTGCTACGTTCCCCAACAGTGGCATCATGAGCTAGGTCTATGCGTAGTTACTATGCACGAGTAGAACACAAAGTAGTTGTGGGCGTCGATATTGTCAATTATCTTGCTGTTACTAGTCTTATCTTGATTCGGCGGCATCGTGGGATGAAGCGGCCCGGACCAACCTTACACGTACGCTTACATGAGACCGGTTCCACCGACTGACACGCACTAGTTGCATAAGGTGGCTGGCGGGTGTCTGTCTCTCCCACTTTAGTCGGATCGGATTCGATGAATAGGGTCCTTATGAAGGGTAAATAGAAATTGGCAATTCACGTTGTGGTTTTGGCATAGGTAAGAAACGTTCTTGCTAGAAACCTATAGCAGCCACGTAAAAACTTGCAACAACAATTAGAGGACGTCTAACTTGTTTTTGCAGCAAGTGGTTTGTGATGTGATATGGCCAAAGGATGTGATGAATGATATATGTGATGTATGAGATGATCACGTTCTTGTAATAGGAATCACGACTTGCATGTCGATGAGTATGACAACCGGCAGGAGCCATAGGAGTTGTCTTTATTTATTTATGACCTGCGTGTCAACATAAACGTCATGTAATTACTTTACTTTATTGCTAAAGCGTTAGCCATAGTAGTAGAAGTAATAGATGACGAGACAACTTCAAAAAGATACGATGATGGAGATCATGGTGTCATGCCGGTGACAACGATGATCATGGAGCCCCGAAAATGGAGATCAAAAGGAGCAAATGATATTGGCCATATCATGTCACTATTTGATTGCATGTGATGTTTATCATGTTTTACATCTTATTTGCTTAGAACGACGGTAGCTTAAATAAGATGATCCCTCGTAATAATTTCAAGAAAGTGTTCCCCCTAACTGTGCACCATTGCGAAGGTTCGTTGTTTCGAAGCACCACGTGATGATCGGGTGTGATAGATTCTAACGTTCGAATACAACGGGTGTAAGCCAGATTTACACACGCAATACACTTAGGTTGACTTGACGAGCCTAGCATGTACAGACATGGCCTCGGAGCACAGAAGACCGAAAGGTCGAGCATGAGTCGTATAGAAGATACGATCAACATGAAGATGTTCACCGATGTTGACTAGTCCGTCTCACGTGATGATCGGACACGGCCTAGTTAACTCGGATCATGTTATACTTAGATGACTGGAGGGATGTCTATCTGAGTGGGAGTTCATTGAATAATTTGATTAGATGAACTTAATTATCATGAACTTAGTCTAAAATCTTT